TCAACGGTCATGCGAGCGCGTCCTATGGGCCGTGCGATAGATAAGTGGCAGCAAAGACCAGAAACGTGTCGTTGCTGCGGCAAGAGCAGCAAGCGTCTAGCATGGTCTAACTTTAAGGGGACAAGTTCAAAGCTTTTGATAGCAGCATATAATGACTATTTCAACTTCGCCGTAGACCGAATTGCATCATAAAATTATCGGAAATGATCGTATACCGGTTTGTCGATCTGAATGAGGCAACAATAAGCATCCAGAAGGTGTTACCTATTCAATGTAAACGAAGTCGTTCATCTTGAAAGAATTAAAGTTTCTTAGATTAAAATGATGACACGAAGAGCTATGAGCTGTGTCTTCAGTATAGTAACAGAAAATAGATCCTCGCTAGTGAGTTTTATTTGGAAGGGTGTCTTGCACTATGGTCGCAGTCGTGACAAATGGCAGCACCATCAATAGATCGTATACATCGCTCAGGTGCAATTTCTTTGCAGCGACCTTACCCGTTTTAAGAAACAACGACAGATCAGCGGCACCATGAAGCGCGCCTGAAATCGCCGCCCTTTCGCCGGACACCTTAATGCAATGATCGTATTTATCCAATGTCAAATTTTACTCATGGCGCCTGATTACAAATATTATACAGTGACAGGATCATAAACAGCGTGTCTCACAATAATTCCGTGCGGAAGTGGTGCTGCTATTGCGACTGGTGCCAGTATTGCGACTTTTTCCGGTATTTAGTACTGGTGTTGCGGCTTTCTCTCCATTTTACGCTATCTTCGTTTCCATTATGTTACATGGGTAGAAACGAATACGCTCTTGGCGTTGAATAGTAATGTAAATTTAGAATGAAAGACGTGTGGGACGAGCGGGATGGGATTCGCAGGATGGGATCTTGCGGGACGGAGCCCTACTTGGGTGTTAATCTTTTCAGTGCGGGCATTAGTTTCTGTAGTGGAGCTACTTAGCGCTCATTAACAGAGGAATCCTTGGACTCAACGAATAATTTAGTTATAACAAACCAACAACGACTTACAGTCGTTCAAGCGTACAAGCTTAACAATTTCAGCTCCAAAGAAACTAAAATTTATATAAATACACACCAACTAGAGACTAGTGGTTGGACGAGAGTATGCGCCTTTGCAAAGCTAATGCTCTTGATAACACACTATGCCTTTATTGGGCACTAGCGTCCGATGATTCAAAGAGGAACTGATTTTTTTTAATCTTTTAACTACGGTAATAAAACCCTAAAACCTTGTCTGACTGACTTTTACATTGCGATCCTATGACCGAAGCCTTATTCCCCTTTTCCTAACCGATAAGATGTGGTTTTGTCGTAAGTTAACGGTACCAAGACTGTACCACTCAGATCCACCGATCTTTACTTGGTCTGTACACACAACTTAAACTGTTCAAATAACATTCGTGTAACTCCGTAACGGTTTCTCCTCACATAACCGCTCCGAATCCGCGGTGTTCTCGTGTTACGACCACTCGAAGCGGTCGGATGTATGCCGGCCACTGTTGCCCCGGTCACCGCACAACGCGACCGCATTCTTGTCCATCTGTAGCCATGTCTGGCAGACCGCTGTGACGATGCGATACTAAATTTTATTTATAAACTTCGTGTTTCATAGTTGACCACCTTGCAGCAGTTTTCCGCGTAAAATTAACTGCTTCATTACAAATGCGTTAAAAAACAAGAACGTCACTTCCCAGCCGGCAGACAGCTGCAACAAGATACAGAGAAGAGACCCTCCAGGGAGCCGGGAATCTGGCCTTCTTTCCTTGCTAGGGAAGCCTCCGAGAGTCGCGCCTAGGTAAAAAGGGGGATGGTTTTCGTCGTCGCGTTCGCTACGGGAGGCAGCGCAGCGTGCGGCTAGAGAGAGATAAGCGGTTTGCAGGATATCCTAGTGCAGGGAATGTTGGCGAAGGATCAAATCAGCCTGCAAAACTAAGAAGTTCCTACCCTTCATGGTTTGTTTACAACTCCGACTCCTTCGCTGTGCATGATTCCGTCCCCACGAAGAGAAATACCCTAAGACCGTGACGACCCCCGTTGATATCCAGTGCCGGTTGTTCCTGTACAATAGCACTGAGCCTAATACGCTTCGTTCTGTGGTGCGCCTGGGCACACTTGAGCACGTTATGAGCCCGAGCTGACCAAATGAGAAAGAAGTCGACTACGAGGTGATTATTAGATTACGTCAAGATGACTCGCGAAGACTACCGCAGTGGTAACAGGACTCCTAGTCAAGCGCCCTCTGTCCCCTAAATAAAATTGCTCCGAGCGCGAGAGCATCCCTAACATCCGGTAGAGTGCACACAAGAATCTAACCCTGCATGTAACGGGGTAGCCCGTTACATGATATTGACATTAAACAGTGTCAATAGGGAGATTGTACAGCGTGACAATATCCTGCCAATATTTTTTTAAGATAGGTAACATTGAAAGAACATGATCCCTTAAGGATACATTTCACGTGTTGCTCGAAGATTGGTTGATAAAAGACATATCAACCAAGATTGTTAACAGTCTCTGCTAGACGCGTGCAATGGATGGTAAGAAGGTTGTCGTCATAAGGCAATATAGATCAGTAAAGTTAAATAAATATTGAGGTCATTTTGATAGATTAACTATACTGAATACAGTTCTCGTTTTGCCTTTACTAAGACTAGTAGCTTAATTACATTTACCTTCCTCTGCACTTACGAGCGCACGTGACGTTTCGTGGCACCAAATCTAAGGGCGCCCAGCGTTATACCGAACTGGATAAACGGAAGGTTCCACAAGGCCTTTTTGGGAGTGCCCCGCCATGATGCTTGATGTCTTGAGCCAGCAGAATGAGAAAGCTAGGAGTAGAAAGGTTCTGTCATGGTTGATGACACGAGGTGGTGACTACACAACCAGACATCTAATAGTGATAAGTAGCTATAAAAGACAGTCTGAGCCTCAAATTCTAGGGCTGTGGTCTGCGGCAGCTGCGGGCAATTACATTACGGGAACACAGGTCGGTGGAAATCGCAGTCAACGTGGCGCATTATGGTGCATGTTAAGAATTGCACAGCAACGAGCCTATACGGCACTCGACCGCAGTGGAAATTTACAACGATGAGAAACCCTCGCCGACACTTGCATCCTGGATCAGGACCTTTCAGATATCTCGCTCATGTTAGCATTCGAATAGACGATCATGAAACTCGGGAGATGCTAAACCGCTGGGTAAGTGAGACTATTTAGTCGGTGTCGATGGCCAGTAGGGAGGTTATGGCCAAAAAAAAATTCGATCTGATCTTTCGGTCATTTAAAATCCTCTTTATGCGGCAAGTCTATTCCGTACATTGAGTTTTGCTATTCCGTACTGCAAACGGCGTCAGACGTTTTACGAACAACTAACTAGCTTCATAATTAAATTTATCTTTGTTATGCTATTTATAGAAGGTCAGAGGTACGAAGTTTAAAGAGCTTGTATTGACTAATTTAGTACCTGTATGCCACCCTTTATACTACCTTTATTTGACGTGAACATTGTAGCTGACCATATGTAACGGGGTCACACTAACCATTAGCTAAATTGGTCAAAGAACTCCCATAAATGATATGGATGAATGTGTGTGACCTTGGATTTTATTTCAGCAAGAGAATATCGATTAATCGATACTACCAGGTTTACGGTACTCACCGTGTACGTACTTTGTGCCTTCATCATTTGATGTCTGAGTGATGTTCCAACCATTCATTCAGTTCAGAAAATAACATTTGTGTTAGTTCAATTTTAGTAGAATATAGGGTACTTAAAGTAGGATTTTCCTTGATATAAAATCTAAATAAACTCAGTTCTCATTTTGAGCAGAAGTCCCTAGACCCCCCCCCCTTTTTCGCACATTGTGCCCTGCAGTTTTCTTAGAACTGCCGCAGCTTAGAGAGTCCTTAGACTCCTATTCCCCTGCACATTGTGCTTGTGGTTCTCTAGAACTACACAGTAGTTGAGCTGTTAGCTCGTAGAGTCCACCCGAGTTGCGTAGAACTGGGTGACTCTTTAACTTGAAATATTAGTTCTGGAGGACTAGTAGGCTGTCAGCCGTAAGCCGTTGGCTTGTTAAATTAGAATTTCTCTGACTTAAAGAACTGTGTAGATCCGCTACACTTGGTAGCACTTGTAGTCAATCCTACACCTGATTCGTTTCAACTAATCCTCTGTGAGAGATGGAGGGTCTTGCCTACCTCTCTGAGGCCTAACGTATCGCGGTTGATAAGCTTAGATCGTTGACAGGGGTCGAGCAGGTCGACCACATTGTGACTCAAGGCCCAGAAGTGCTTAATGCACGTCTTGATGCATTGATGAAGTTTGAAGCTACGTTGATAGGGCAGGTCCACGACCTTTTAGCCTCAGCCGTACCTACACGGTACTTTCCAGTACCTGACAGCGAGTCAAAGACTCGTCCGCTCACTTATAGCGTTAAGACTATCGAGAAGAAAGAGGGGGAAAGTCTCTTCCTCTGGATCCGAGAAATCGATATGACTATTGAAGCTGCCTTGATTCAATCGGAGCGACAGAAATTTGGCCTTGCCATTTCTAGGCTCGGTGGTAGAGCCAAAGAATGGGCTCTTACCTGTGATACGTTGGTTAGCGCTGCGTTTTTCACATGGAGTTCTCTTAAACGATAGATGTATTGGGTGTTCGCGCACCGAATCAATCGTATCGTGTTCGCTCTCGATTCCTAGCCGCCAGGAAGGGAAAGAGAGAGTTATCGGACTTCATCGAAGGGTTACGAACTCTCATAGCTGCTATGCAGATGGAGCTTCTTCCAGAGCAAGTCCGTGTCACCATTTTTATGGAGGCCTTCGTACAGGGATCGCGAGGACGAAAGTCTTCCGCGTCCACCCCCTAACGTTTGAAGGGGCCGTAGACATAGCGTTGAATGCTGAGTTCAACTTTAAAGCCGCTCTCTATGGCACTCATGGGCATGCCCAAAGATCATTTGACGGGGCTGAGCCCATGGACCTCAGCCATGCTAAAGAAGAAGAGAGAGACCTTCTGGCGTTTAAACAGCAACGTAACATCCGTAGCTGTTACATGTGCGGGGGCACCAAGCACTTGCGCCCTCAGTGCCCACTGCGGAAGCCGCGTCAAAGTCGGCCGAGCCGCAATCCGCCTCCTAACCCGAAAGTGGGTACGGAGCGGGAAAACGGCAACTTCCAGTAGGCGCGGGGCAACCTACTGGGGAAGAACTAGGCTCTGCCGATTTTTTAGGCGGTAAAGATGGACAGGGCTTAGCCCCAGACGGTCTTGTGGAAATTTTCACGAGACGTGAGTATAAGCCAGACTTGTTAGTGGCCTCAGCTAAAAGTAAGGGCTTTGAAGAACCGCGGTCAATATTAATTGACTCGGAAGCGTCAGGCAACTGTGCTCGATGCTTGTCCCTATACGGATTTCAGCAATATGCTGAGGCGCTGAAAGCGCATGAGGGTGATGTTATCACTGTTAGCTTAGCAGCAGGTACTCGTGTCAACCGTACCTACAGTTCCGTTGAACTTAGGTGTGGAATTTTTAGATTTCGATAGTTTTGAACGCTGTCTTGTCCTGGATTCAAAATCGAAATATAATCTCATCCTTGGGATGGCTTGGCTGGAACGCCATGAACCTTGGATTGATTGGAGGTCGAAGACCTTAGACGCAACGCGCAATGTACCTGGTGAAGCTTTGGAGAGTCATGAACCCACCTTGCTAAGCAAAAAAAGCGCTATTGGCGCGCGCCACTGACGTAGTCTGTCAGTGTGCTGGATATTGGAGTGTCTGAGCTAGTTAACTCTGGTGTCATTGGCAATGGTGAAACGGCACGTATTCCGTTGAGTGACACTAGTAATGACAGTAAATTACTGGATGCTGGAAGCATTGATGGCTTAAAGCCGAGTAATCCTGGGTGTGATCCCTGTGATGCGCGTGAAGAGGCATGTAAACATCCACAGAGTGAGGTCGGCCCGTGATGGCACCCCGCTAAATACCGGTAATGACATCGTTGGCGATGCGCCAAGGCATCAAGATCTATGCTCAACAGATGCGAATATAGAGGATAACTGTCCACAGAGTGAGGTCGGCCGTGAGGGCACCACACTTAATGTAGGTAGTGACATTGGCTCTCAGAGAGAGCAGGTTTAGGTTGAAGATAACCTTCACCTCGTGGAACCGGATGTTCTTAACACGTTAATGTGTTCATTCTCTGCGCAGAGACGACAGCGACGCCATATGGCGGCTGTGAAAAAAAGGCTTCTGCCATGACCCAGAAGGACACTAGTGAACAGTTGTGCACGTCAGTCAATGGTGTGTCGGTTGCGATTGATGGAGAAGTTGGCCTCGAGGCCCTCCCATCAATTAAAGCTCTGCTAGAGCTAGACGAAATCTCTGTAGACGAATTTTATCAAGCCTTAAAGGCTGTTGCTTCGTCCAATATGGTGGTCTTTAGACCTGATCTTGAGTTGATCTCGTCATCCTTTGTGGATGAGACAGCCCTCGAGGATATTAAAGTTTCACTCAGTGCTCGCAGTGGATCTACCACTATTTAGGATCCTTCGGATCCCTTGTATCCTTTGGTAAAGGAATTTCAGGACGTGGTGTGTCATGATCCACCATCCATTCTACCTCCTGATCGAGGTGAACGTTATAAAATTGACCTGGTCCTGGGACCGAATACCGTGTCACACGGCAATGGCCATTGCCTAAGGAACGGTGTGACGTCATTGACGAGTTCTTTCGTGCAAAGCACGCGGCAGGGATGGCGCAGAAGAGCAAATCTCCACACTCGACACCGAAATTTTGTGTCAGAAAGCCCAATGATAAGTGGCGTATTGTGCACGCTTACAAGAAGTTCAATGCGGCCACTATACCTGCGCAGACACCTATTCCAAGAAAGGATGTTCTTCAGAACGCTATGGTGGGTTGCACCATGTTTAGCGCACTCGACTTAGTCGATGGTTATTACCAACTGCTCATGCGAGCAAGTGATATTCCGCTAACAGCGGTGAGTACTCCGAGCGGTGTGCTCTGGGAGTGGCTTGTGATGCCTCAGGAACTTTCTAATGCCCCCGCAACCTTTAATCGTCTCGTGACGCAATTGTTCCGCCCTCATAGAGGATATGCACAAAGCTATTTTAATGGCATTTTTGTCCATAGCCATGCAGAACAAGGAAGACCAGATGTGAAAAATCACGTTAATCGTTTACGAGCAGTGCTCGGGTGCATGCGCACCAAAAAGTTGTATGCAAATGCATCTAAATGCACTTTTGGTGCTAAAGAAATCCCTTTTCTAGGGTGCTTCATTGGAATGCGCGGCCTACGAGCAGATCCCGCTAAGGTAAAATCCATTGTGTATTGGCCGGTTTTGAAGAGCCAAAAGGACTTACGCAAGTGGCTTGGCCTTGCCAATTACTTGCATAAGTATAGTGTGAATTACGCAGACATGGCTAGACCATTATTTTATCCTTTTAAAAGGGTGTGGATTGGTGTTGGGGTAATACCGAGCAAGATGCTTTTAAAGCTGTTAAGGAGAGTCTCCTTCATGCGTCAATATTGGTTTTGCCTGAACCGGAGCGAACTTTCAGTGTCGCCTGTGACGCATCTGATTTTGCCATTGACAGTGCGTTGTTGCAACTGATGTCGATGGACATGAATGCGTCATTGCGTATGAGTATCGCCAGATTAAATCTGCTGGAAAGAACTATCCAGTTCATGACAAAGAACTTATTGCTATGAAGTATGGACTGGTTTAATTCAGAGTACATCTGCTTGGCTAAAAGCTATTTGTGATCTATACAGATCATGCGTCATTGCGCACTGCGACACAGTCGCCGCATCTCCATCAGAGAATGGCTCGTTGGCTTTCATTCTTTGCCGAATATAACTTCGAAGTGAAGTGTAAGTCAGGAAAGCAAAATGCCTTGGCTGACGCGCTATTGCGCCGACCTGACTATGAGCTTGCTCATGTTACGACACTGTCGTCATCAGTCCCTGACTTAATCCGTGCGGCTTATGCCAAGGATGAACAAATGTAGCTTTGCTACGAGATCTTGGGATCGATGAGTTTAAATACTCGTACATATAATTGTCGGCACGTTTACGTGCGAGAGTGCATCGATAATCGATCGATAATAACCTGTTGTGCTATCGCACAGATATTGAGGATACCGCTCGTATCGCTGTCCCTCATGATGAAAACTTGGGAGACATAATCCATTATAAGGCACATGATACTGCTTTAAGTGTTCATCTAGGTCTTAAGAAGACCTATGGCTCGTTGGGCCAGGATTACTGGTGGCCCAAACTATATAAATGGGTGAGAACCTATGTGCGTACGTGCGAAACGTGTCAACGGGTCAGAACTCAGCACACGCGGCTGCGCCGTCGGTTAGTCTGCTTGTAACCACTGGGTGTTGGTAGTCCATAAGTATGGATTTTGTGTTCGGCCTACCGAAGGATTCGGAAGGCAACACTGGTATTGTGGACTTTGTTGACCATTTGAGCAAGATAGCTCTTTTAGCGGCTATGCCGGATACGATCGACGCTGAAGGCACGGCAAAGCTGTTCATCGATCGCGTGTTTCGACAACATGATTTGCCTTTGGCAATTGTCTCTGATAGAGATCCCCACTTCACTGGAAATTTTGGAAGTCTATCTCCAAGGAGCTCGGCACCCGATTATCCATGCCCAAGGCGGAACATACGCAGATTGATGGTCGATCTGAGCGTGTTAATCGCGTCATCAATGACATTTTGCGCAGTGTTTGCGCTGATAAGCCTAGGCGTTGGAGCTTAAGCTCCCTGTTGTTTAGTTTGCATCAAATAACGCTGTTCATGCCTCAACAAGCTTTGCTCCGCTTCACGTTTAATGTCTCATCCAACCTCGCGTTCCGTTCCGCTACTACTATGTGGTTCAGGGCTTGATGGGGGAGAGATTGCCGATCGGCTTGCTAATATCAGCCCTGCTAATGTTCAAAAACAAGTAGTCAAAGTCTCGCACAGCGATTGAATTTCTTACGACATGTTCGTGAAGCAATGGCTGATAGCCAAGATTAACAAAAGCAACAAGCAGATGCCAAATACAGAAATTGCATTAAATGTTAAGAGGTCGGAGACCAAGTCTTGCCAAACACTAAAAATATACCTGCAAATGTAGTGTCAGCTGTTTTTAAATGGAAGTTGCGTCCGCGCTTCATTGGACCTTTTACGGTCGTGTCCGAGAAGGGACTTGTGTAACGCTCAACTTGCCGTGCAAATTGCGTACCCATCCCGTCTTTTAGGTCGGCCTGCTTAAGCCATACCGAATCCCGTCCCACGTTGACTTAAAGGCGCTTGCGCCGCGTTTTTTTTTTTGGCGTAATCACAGGATGTTGCATCCGAATTTAGTGGTCAAGTTGAGCCTCGACACGAGTCTGACGTGACTCCACCATCTGAAGACGGGCGCGATCGCCTTTCAATGTCTCCAGACGAGATCGGGCTTCGCCCAGGGCGTTCTGAGTCTGACCCAAAGTCTCACGGAGATCCTTCACTTTCTTTACCAATTCAGCATGGCTTTCAGCCGATACTCCGACTGCCACCGGCGTTGCTTGATAAGCAAGAGAACTTACAGTTCCATGCGGAGCGGGCGCTTCAACGACGTCGTCGTCATGGTCACTATTAATATCTGGTGAAGTGGCGTGATACCCTGAGTCTAAAAACTCATGGAAGTATGAGATTCCCCTTCGGCAAGATTACCCATACGCCGTTGACAATTCTGAGCGCCACGGCCGAGATCGTCTTGACGAGCGTCACGCTTCTGCTGTAAGCTCGTAGAGTCCACCCGTGTTCCATAGAACTGGGTGACTCGTTAACTTGATAAATTAGTTTTGTAGGACTAATAGGCTGTCAGCCGTAAGCCGTTGGCTTGTTAAATTAGAATTTTTCTGACTTAAAGAGCTGCGTAGCTCCGCTACACCATAACGCATTCACCTGTTATCGTCCTTTGGTTCAAACTGCCGACAAACGGTGCAGGCAGTGCGCGCGCTGACCTGGGAAATAATGTACAAGGCAAAATTCTTGTTCACACTGGAACTACCGACCAGCAGATACAAGTGTCTGCATGATGGCGGTGTATTGCTTAGGGTTCAACACGCGACTTCTGAACGCACGTTGGTTCACCCCTTCGTAACTTCATCATACACCGGATCTTCGGGA